ATGCTTATATAGGCCATTTTTTCATTTGAGAAAGTTTGAACAAAATATAGTTCAAATTTCACAAGTGTGTGACATAGTTTCAGAAAGTCTATATGAGATTTAAGAATTTATGACTAGTGTTTGATAAAACTTTCTCAAATGGGAAAATAAGCTATGTAACAATTGTAGATCTTGCTGAGATGATCAAACTTGGTATTCAGAGTTTTTTCATCTGAGGTCATTTAGTGTCTCATTTGAGCAAGTTTGACCAAGTCAAATTTGGTCAAATGAAAAAACAACACTTTGACTCTAGTATTATGAACTCTAAATGATTTCAAATTGAAAAGTTTTGAATACCAAGTTTGTTCAACTCATCAAGATCTACAATTGTTGTTTTGGTCAACTTTCCATTTGAGATAGTTTGGATGGTTCAAATTTGTGATTTTTAAATTTTGAATAAATATCCGGATAATATCCGTTTTTAAATATCCGGATATATCCGATACTTATCCGGATTATCCGATATCCGCCGGATATCGATGATATTACATCCGTATTTGATATCCGCCTAAGATATCCGTTTTAGTATCCGTATCCGAAAAAAAAACGGATATCCAAGTAACTATCCAGATAAGTGTTCATATTTGTTCGGTCGAACGGACGGTCGAATAAATATCCGTTCCGTTTTCAATCCATAGTAAGCAGCACGCGAGAGCGACCAAGCGAGCCTTTTGTGCTACTCCTAGATGCGGGGCCGTGGTGGGAGGACGGGTGATTCTCTGGCGGTGAAAAGACGCGACGGGGCTGTTTGGTTCATACCGGATTTTAGTCCCTATTCAATTGAATGCTCGACACATACATGAAGTATTAAATATAGATTAAAAAATAACTAATTATATAGATTGCGACTAATTTAAGAGACGAATTTTTCAAGCCTAACGAGTCTATGATTTGATAATGTTTGGATTCAAGGACTAAAGTTTAGTCCGTGTCACATCGGACGTTCGGATGCTAACTAAGAGGACTAAATATGAGCTAATTAAAAAACTAATTACACATGAGTGGACTAATTTACGAGATGAATCTATTAAGCCTAATTAATTCATCATTAACACATATTTACGGTAGCACCACATTATCAAATCATGGACTAATTAGGCTTGAAAAATTCGTCTCTCAAATTAATCGCAATCTATGTAATTAGTTATTTTTTTAATCTATATTTAATACTCCATACATGTGTCAAACATTCGATTGGACAGGAGAGTGGAGTTGCCTCTGGGCATTCGGACAGACCAATCAGTTCTGTTATTTGCGCCCGCCCCCCTCCCTCGATTGATCCCGGTTAACTAGGCTCAGTCTTGCGATGCCGAACTAATAACGGCCTGCAGCTAGTAGCGGTTTATACAAAGGTCCGAAATGGCCAAACAGAACTTCAGAAGATGTAGATTTTTTAAGAATTTTATAACCTTTACATCGAGTAAATAATGCCTCGGTATAAAAGCATAATGCCTTAAAAAAAAGCAAAAGCATGCCACTTTAACGAATATCAATCTTAAGACTAGATCGCCCTTCATGTGTCTTAAAAAAACACTATAGTCGTCTACACCAATTTTTCTGACGTCACTGTAATCAAAACTTGCGAGGTAAGCTTCTAGAACCTAAGTGCGAAACCAACGGATAATTGAACGTAGCACCCACAAAGGAGAATATGTATGCTTTCTTTCAAATACCAAATCATTATTCCTACATAACCACAACGACCAACAAGTAGCTACTATCCAGCTGAACTAAAGGTTTTAAATACCTTCCAAACCCTCGAAGCCAACGTCAGAACATTTGAGAAATATGCATGTAGCCCCAAACCGCAGTAAAACGACATTCAAACAAGACGTGCTTAATTGTATTGTGCCAAAAGCAACACTCTTTACTGCCTTTCCAATTGCGTTAGGCTAAATTGTCTTTTTGTTAAAATCACTCCTCTACGAAGATACCAAAGAAAACAAAACTATCTTTAGTGGAGCCTTTAGTTTTCAAATGATTTTCGTCATGTTTTTCAGCACTACTTCAGCAGAGCCGCAACACTAGCTAAATTTCAGCGAAACAAACACGACATTTGTTTAAGTTGAGAACATCTAGGTGAATCAAAGCTGAATAATGTGATCTCACTGAGAATTGGCCATTGGGTCTAAAGAACAGTGAAACAAATCATGCCATTGTGTAAGCATGACATTGCGAGGAAGTTCATTTCATGCTACTAATTTGTGTCTAATTTATGTCCAATCAAGTCACGTCATGTGATGCACTAAAAACCTCGGCTACAGTATCATTCTTGTGTTTAGCGATATTGTATAAGCAAGGATATTGTTCCTACAAAGTTGAGTTTTCCAACCATTTATCCTCATAGAATCTCACTTAGGCTTAGATCATACACCGAACCGGCGGTGGGCAGTGAACCACCGCCCACTTTCACAAATGACGATGAAACCAGCTCTCATAAAGTTTGTGGAGTAGCGAAGGATCCAAAATAGAGAAAATCTTGTTTCACTTTTATAAGACTAGCCTAAAAATCTACAGTTTGTTATGAGATAAAACAATTACCTTGCTTCCTCTGTGTTTGCAATTGAGGTTGAGAAATCAACACCATTCGAGGAACGAATGAGACGCCAGTTAGCACTTGACAAGAATGACGTCAAGTAGGAATTTTTTTTTATTTTTAACACTTTTTTGAAACTATTTTCAAATATGACACTGTTTTTTTTAACTAATACTTTTAACCGCGCCTATTCGCATGGCGCGGCGAAATCACGTTGATGCGCCATGCATGGGGCGCGGTAGGAGCGATGACGTGGCAGCGACTAGGACCACTGAACGCTGACGTGACCGGGGCTGCCACGCCGTGGATCTAGACACGGCACTGACGTGCCATGGAGAATGGCGCGGCAGAAGGTGATTTCGCATCATTTTGTACCGCACACCCCACACAGCTCTCGCTCGGCGGGCCGCGCGCTGCATGCATGCATGATGCACGACGCACACGCATGAAGCCTGCGCGGGCGCGCAGCTCTCGCCGGCCGGATCCGCGCGCGCGTTAGGCCGTTATTAGCTTTACTGATTTCCTTTTTGTTTCTACTTTGAGGAGGGACCAAAAAAAAGGTAAGTAGCCATAGCGTGTATATAGGTACGCAGGCACACCGTTACGGCCGTCTTTTCAGATGAGCGGCGGCTAGCTAGCTACGGTGTCCATGTACAGTTGCACACCAATCAATATCCATCGCGTCGGTTCCAAATGTTCTCCTGAAGTTTCATTCACTCGATCGACTGTTTACTGATCTGTGATATGAGTATGCTTTTAAAAAAACTGCTACGAAAGGGGGTGTTACCATTATTACCAGTTTTGTTCGCTGAGCTTTTGGGTCAACGAGGAAGTTTTTGGATGAACCCATGAATTGTTTGATGAAAGGACATGTTCGTATGATCAGCTAGGACTAGCTTAGCCCATTTATAACTAGCGATTTGGCTAACAACCCATTGAAGTTTTGGCTAAAAAGTTAGCCTACATATTAGCCCTCCTGTATGGATAGGTTAGAACTAATTTCAGCCCGCGAACAATTAGCCCTTGGTATTCAGGCATACCACTAACTAGTTATTTTTGTTCGATTGAGGTGATTAGATTTAATCAGTTTTTTAGTTATCAAATGTACAGTGATAAATTAGCTGTTTGCTCGAAACTGTAGTTAGGAGAATTTCAAGCTAAGCACTTGGAAAATACTAGTCACAACCAGACAAAGTGAAAAATAGCTAGTAATCCAAACTCTTTGAATGTTGTGAACCATGCTTCACTTATATATTACTACTGCATGCTCCCTCCGTAAAAAAAAAAATGTAATTCTCGTTTTTTGAGGAGTCAAACAGTTTAAATTTTGACTAAATTTATACAAAAAGATATTAGCATTCATGATACAAAATAAGTATCATTGGAATAGTTATAGAATATATTTTCATAATAAATTTATTTGAACACATAAATGCTAAATACTATTTGCTATAAACTTGATCAAACTTGAGTCAGTTTGGCTAACACGGATCCTATAATTACATTTTTTTACGGACAGGGGGAGTACTATTTATAACTAGTGGTCCAAATTGTGTTTTACCATATATAGGTAACTCGTTCAAAACCACGAACATATATACAATCCAAGAGTGATGAAATGGTTCTTCATCAAATTAAACAACATTCGATCATTGTATAGCTGGTGGCTAGCAATTAGCAACTCCTCTCCACAGCAATGGTTGCAGTTTGCATACGATCCGCTCACCCTTTGCCTTTTGGCCTTTTCCCACCGAAGCGGCGCTGCGAGATAAGGCTCACACCACATTTCGCACTTACTAGCTGCATGCAGTCCTTGTCGTCTGACATGCCTTTTCCACTGCGGCTCCAAGCAACGCCCTCTTCAGTTTTGCTGCAACGCACACTGCAGCGTTCACCATTGCCGCGCCAAGCCATTCTCCTTGGCGCGTCAGTGCCGCGCCCAGATCCGCGGCGTGGCAGCCCCAGCCACGTCAACGGTCCCGATCGCTGCCATGTCATCGCTCCTACCGCGCCCCATGCATGACGCGTCAACGTGATTTCGCCGCGCCATGCGAATAGACGCGGCCAAAAGTGTTAGTTTTGAAAAAAATAAATAAACAGTGTCATATTTGAAAATAGTTTCAAAAAAGTGTTAAAAACAAATCTCAAGTAGTGGGATAAACAGTAACATGCCTCGCAATGGATAAATGTATGAAATGCAAAGGATTTGTACTAGTCGTTTGTTCTTTGCTAACACAGCAACATTGTACAATACTCGTGTTTATTTTCCAAAAAAAAGGGAACACTCGTGTTGTTTTCTTCGCCCCCGCTTGGGGCCTTTGCCTAATTTTATGTACAGGTAAGCCAGCTATACTCCAGTAACCGTTATATTTACACGCAAAAACTACAGCAGCCGTGGCGTCCGTATGTTTGTTCAGTCATCTGTTCATACATTCTCACTGGAGATGAGCACGAAAGCTCCAAGACCTTGGAATTCGCAAAGGTAACCTGCACAAAAAGAGAAAAAAAAGTATGGGGCTGGATATCATGAGTATGTGAAATGACCCAAATGTTATTTGAATTCAGTATGAAAGCTACAACTTCATATAAACTTCAAATTATAGTTCACTTTGGCTTTTTCCTAAGTCAAACTTCTTTTTAACTTTCATCAAGTTCATAGAAAATTGCACAAAATCTATCACATTAAATTTGTTTGGTTAAATTCTCCATACAATATATTTTAAAAGTGCATTTTTTACTTAAACTTGTAGATGATAATGTATTTTTTTAAAAACTTGGTCAAAGTTAGAGATTTTGACTTAGGACAAAGCCAAAGTGAAATATAATTTTTTTTTTACCACGAAGTGAAATATAATTTGAAACGGAAGGAGTACAAAACTGCATCCATGGGTGTAAAATTAATGCAGACAGCAATCACCAAAATACATGCAGCGATATATATGGGGAGCGGCAGTTTAGAGCCTACCATTTAATGGATGGCAACCAGATAACGAGATTCCTGGCACGACACCTCAGTGCATACTGAAGATTTCAAAGCAGGTTCTGCACTACCGCAAATTATACTGCAGGTCCTCGTCACAGTCCAGCACTCCAGCTTCACAAAGATGGAACTTTGGCATAGCAGTAGTCTCATTCCAAACCTTATTTAGCAGACACACTTGCCTTTTCCTTTTCCTTTTCCAGTTTCTTTTTCTCAGCCTCCGCATTTCGAGCATTTTCATCACGTGATTTTTTGAACATATTCACAAAAATAACCAAAATTGATGTGACTGTAAATAAAAGAGCAATAATTGGTCATCAGGTAAACATAAGAACTACATACAGCTGTGCAACAAAATTGATTCGTGTCAATCATACAAAGTATGATGGTTCAGTTCGCAGGGAAACTGAAGGAGCTCAGGCAGTCAGATCAACTTAAGTAGCTAACCAGTCGCCGATATTAGCAACTTCAATAAAAAGTTACAGTTTGGATAAAAGAAGACAATCAGTGGAAAAGTACTCAAGGGGCTAAAGAATAAAAAAGTTGCAGTTTTGATAAAAGAAGCAGAATTATGTTTGACATAATGTAATGCATAAACTGAAGCCTATGGTGTCCTAGTGGGGTAATCAAGATTAGGTTACTCAAAGGTCATTTTTTGCTTAAATATCCTGTTCAAAGAAAATTTGATTGGTATTGACTTCCATCACTACATGTTCAGATGGGATTAGCATGAATAATGTAAATGTGTAACCAAGAAACCAATGAGCCAACGTCTAGTAAAACGTTTAAACACAACAAACGCTAAAATATACCTTGCTCGAACGGGCAGCGTGCAGGATCCTCACCAAAATACTGAGCTAGCGAATCAGCGTTTCTTCCTGCAAGACTAAAATATCAGAATCTATAACAAGAACAGGAAAACAGGGTAAATACTTTTTATGGCAGTGACTCACCACTTCAGCATACAAGGAAATGAGGGACCTAACCTCAGCTTCTGCTGCATCAAGAAAGCTTTTCAATGCCTGTACAACCAATCTTAGTTCAGTCAGTAAAGAAGTCATCATTATTGTACACCTACTAGGCTACTACACATGTAAATTTACTTGAGGTGCGCATAGGCACTTGTCACAACTCACAAGTATGTTGAACATTTACATTTACAGCAACTTTACTGCTATAAATATAAAACTACAAATCAGGAAAAACACACACACACACAAACTGCTCATATTTCAGCACTGGTGGAGAGGCCCACCACAGTTAAAGCCTCTGAGGTGGCAGGGTAAGAACAGGAAGAAAAAATACAATAGTGAGTGCAAGATCTGGGGACATGAACCTGCATTTTTGCCTAATAGATTAACCCTAAACCATCTTGAAGTAATGTATTGACGTAAACTGATTTAAGTTCAGTCATCCAGCAACTCCTAAAAGAAGAGATAAACCCTACCATACCTCACGAAAGCCAACTGAAATTGCACCATCACTTTCCGAAGCAGCTAGCTCCTGCTCCACCTTCTCAAGACCTTTGTTTATTGCTTGCATTTCTTCCGCAAGCAATTTCAGTTGGATCTGTGGGGATTAACAAATTCAATTGTTTCGTAACATACTTGATGAGTAGAAAGCTTACTATTCACCCAGAAGTGCAAACGATAAGTTGATTGAAATACCTTGGAAGCTGCTTCCAAATAAATTAGGTCTTTGTCAAAATCAAGAAGTTCAGGCATTTTCTCAGCAAGAAGCTAGCATGTATAGAAATGGAAAGAAGTTAGCTAAATTATGAATGAAAAAAATGACAGACTAACAGCCACAAAGCAGACGAATAAATCTGGCATGCAAAGAGCAAAGTGGAGTTGCCATGAAACTGAGTTAAAAGTAGGTACTATTCATTGATTGGCAGTATACGATGTGGAACATTAGCATGCCAGGCCACTTTTACAAGCATGTGTGGTTTTTATGATGTAAAACAAAAGTAGCACAGTGGCCAGTTGCCCACCTATATAGCACGTGTTTGGATAACTAGAACAAGACTAGTACCTGGACACAGTTTACTGGGAAGCACCCATATTTCTGACTAAAACCATACTTTGCAGTTAACCAGGTAAAGTTAGTCAGGACCAGATAACTCGTTTGAAAGCAGGGAAAATCAATCTAGCTCACCGACAACTCGTTTGAAAGCCGGAAAAGCAGCCTAGCTCACAATATCTTAACGATAACTCGACATAAACCCGCCCAGCAAGCTTTAGCCAAAACTTTGGTCAGATTTTCAGACATTTGCCATTGACTTTCTGAAACCTTTGAAGTACACAAGCGACCCTTGACCACCACCTCCCCAGGGACTGTAACTTGCATGGGAGATATTCTCAAAAGAAAATGGTTCAAGGTCAACAAATACATGTCTGAATCTGGTTGGACTGCTACAACTGTAAACTTAAAGCAAGCTTTGTATAGGCACACATTTAATACAAGCTGATATGGTAAGATCTTAACTCCGCCTATGGTGGGACGCCTTTGGTGTCCCAGCATAGCAGGTCCCAAGCCCTGGTAAAGGAGGAGGGTTGTGTTAGGCGTGGCGAGCCAATGTAAAAACTTAGCCACTTAAATGGAGATGAAACCTGAAAGAAAGTCCAACACCGGTTGAGATGGTTTGGACATGTGCAACGGAGACCTTCAGATGCACCGGTGCGTAGTGGAATCCTAAGTCAGGATAGTAACGTGAAGAGAGGCAGAGGAAGACCGAAGTTGACTTGGGTAGAGGCAATAAAAGGAGACTTGAAAGGATGGAATATACCCAAAGACTTAGCCTTAGATAGGAATGCTTGGAAGACAGCTATTCACGTGCCTGAACCTTGATTGTTTCTGTTGGGTTTCAACTCTAGCCTACCCCAACTTGTTTGGGACTTAAAGGCTTTGTTGTTGTTGTTGTTGTTGTGATATGGTAAGATCTTAGTATCTAACTGTTACAAAGCGAATCCATTGACCGCTTAAGGCAATTGACATATCAAGAAGGACATATGGTGACAATTGACCTTTGGGGTATTTGGAAAATCCTAGCATTGTTGTCTGTTGTATCAGTTTTTGTCAATTCTAGAGATAAACAGTTACTAATCTATATTTTTTTTTAAAAACACCAAGCTACCATGTACCAAATAGATACTAAACACATGTAGCATGAGTCCATGACTACAACAAAATCATTTATACCCCCACCGTTTGTTTTTAGTAAGAGTATTAGAATTTGAAAATAACTCTTTAGAGGTAATATTTTCACCACTAATCTCTTTACAATATAGCACCAAGTGCTACAATCGATGTCATCTTAAGAGATATTTGATACATTAATCCATGCATATAACTTTTGTGCACTAAGTATGCATATAATTTGACTAATCGTTGGTCCAAATTATGAATAGAGTATAATACATATGCTGGGAATCAACAAAAAAAAAGCCTTTTAGCCCCAAGCAAGTTGCAGTAGGCCAGAGTTAAAACCCAACATGAGTCACCAAAGGGAAAAGAAAGAGAATGGAAATAAATACATAGCCACATGGGGCATCAATAATAGTGATATAATCAGGGGATCTAAGCCTTCTCATGGATAATGACTAAGGAAGCTTATTAAATATAAACGAGTCATAAGTGTGATTCAGAATTAGCACCACATCAGCATGTAGAAGGGCCAGTGCCCACTGGAGTACAATCTTGTGTGCTCTGCCATATTAGACAAGAGAGGCTAGGGGCACACTAATGTAATGTTCATATCTAACAAAAGTTGATCATGAAGTATGTAACATGTGTTCAGTAGTAAAGACCTGTAAGGTGATTAACTGATTAAGCATGTGGCAACAGTACATTTATAACAAATCTCAGTGACAAGTGAATACCTTGCATAAATAATGCATCAGCGTCATCTTATTATTTCTAGCTCGAGTATCCGACAGTTTAAGAAGGCTGTCTAATCTGAAGCCAACAGCAGATCCTGTTCAATCAATCCACAGACAAGGGCATCACGGAAAGTTCTCAGAGAAAAGGAATTGCATATGACTTCTCTGCGGTTATTTGATAGGAACTTGCTTCTATGCTTCACCCGTTTAATGCGAGTCGCACAAATCTTGAAGCACTCCAAGGGGTGAATCATTCAAATTCACTTTTGACTTTGTGCTTTAGGTTGGTGGAACTCCCAGGGGGTGAAGCATAGAAGCACCTTCCTAAAATACCTCGTGCTGTCCCTTGATTTAGTGCATTCCCCAGTGTGAGAATGGTCTGCATTATCTGTCGTAACTTCAGAGACTCTTTGACCTGCATAAATCGAAGCCATTAAGCCAGCACATGGGTATAACATATCTCAATATTGTAACAGAGTATCGCCATACCTCCTTTGTTGCATCGTTTATGGTGGTTAGGTTAGTTCTTAGCTCATCTACCTGCGAAAAGGTCAATTATTACAATCACATACAGACATACTGCAAAATTATGGAGGAGACACATATTTCAGGCAAGTTGGCTGGGGGTTCACCAAACCTGTGTTGAGAAAGTAATTCTGAAAGCAAAAACTCTTAGCTTGGCCTCTACACGTGGAACTTTCATCAGCTCCAGGAAGAACTACATTGTAGTTTAAAGCTTCCATCAACACATAAAGGATATCCTTTCCCAAAACAAAAAAAAAGGAGGCACTGTGTGAAACGAAACACAACTCACCTGTTCGCATTTCCCAAGCATTTCTTTGTTGCCGTTATAACCCTGAAATGTGAGACAAGGAAAGGACACACATTTATGATAAAAAACATGTCAAATTCTGATTAGGAAAGCAAGTCAAATCATAAGGTGAGTACAGAAAACATGTGAAAAGAATTACCTTCAACATCTCGATCTCTTCCTTTGTAGGGCAAAACTTAATGAGATTCTCCACTTGGTCATTATCAAGAACAGAAGTGTCCAGAGCCAAAATTGCATTCTGCCAGACACAATCATAAAACAAAATTATGTGGGAGTACAAAATAAGAACCAGACTGGCAGGGATTTATTGGAAGTGCCAACATAAAACAATGTGCAATGTCAAAAGTGTGACAAATTACCTAAGAAACAAAACATGCATCTAGAAATCATACAGCTCAGCAATGGCTTTAACAACTAATGATCACATATGCCAGTATTAGCAAAGAGAAACAAAAAACATTCAAGTTGATACTTTTACCATGCACCAATAAAGAATGGTCTGATCTATGAAATTATGATATAATGTAGGGAGTGTAGTGCCAATGTTGCTATGATTTTTTATATACTACAAAATCAATTGATTATGATACATTTTAGTGTTAACATGGCAGGTACACTGAATAACAGCAGTCACTAAGAGTCATCAACGTATCACAAACTGAAACTGGAGTATTGCCCACTTTTATTACTAGTTGAGACAGGTTGGACCAGGAAGTGAACTCACAATCATATCAGGTAGAGGCATTTTAATTTTCGTAAGCATTATCTCACAATTATTTGCTCGTCGCATGTCAACCTGAAATGATACTCACAAACAATTAGACTGTTCTCTATTGAACAGTGGAATATTTATTCAACATACTAATACAACAACAACAACAACAACAACATAGCCTTTCAGTCCCAAGCAAGTTGGGGTAGGCTAGAGTTGAAAGCCACCAAGAGCCCCAAGTCACAGTTCAGACACTTCAATAGCTGCTTTCCAAGTACTCTTATTCAAACATAGATCTTTAGGTATATCCCAAGCTTTTAAATATCTTTTTATTGCCTCCCCCCATGTCAATTTCGGTCTTCCTCTACCTCTCCTCATATTATTAGCTTGGCTTAGAACTCCACAATGCATTGGTGCCTCTAGAGGTCTCCTTTGGACATGGCCAAACCACCTCAACCGATGTTGGACAAGCTTTTCTTCAATTGGTGCTACCTCTAGGCGATCACGTATATCATCGTTCCGAACTCGGTCCATTCTTGTGTGACCGCAAATCCATCGTAACATACGCATTTCTGCAACACTCAGTTGTTGAACATGTCAAATCTTTGTAGGCCAACATTCTGCTCCATACAACATAGCCGGTCTAATCACCGTTCTATAGAACTTGCCTTTTAGCTTTTGTGGTACCCTCTTGTCACAGAGAATGCCATAAGCTTGTCGCCACTTGATCCACCCTGCTTTGATTCTATGGCTAACGTCCGCATCAATACCTCCATCCCTCTGTAGCATCGATCCCAGATACCGAAAGGTATCCTTCTTCGGCACTACTTGACCTTCCAAACTCACATCTCCCTCCTCCTGTACAACTCCGCCAAAGTCGCATCTCATGTATTCGGTTTTAGTTCTGCTCAATCTAAAACCTTTAGACTAAAGGGTCTGTCGCTATAACTCTAGTTTCCTATTTACTCCCGCTTGGCTTTCGTCCACTAACACTACATCATCAGCGAACAACATACACCAAGGGATATCCCTTTGTATGTTCCTGGTAACCTCATCTATTACCAAGGCAAAGAGATACGGGCTTAAGGTTGACCCTTGATGAAGTCCAATTTTAACCGGGGGCCTGGTGCAAGCGGCAGAGTCTTACCGCCTGTGACCGGAAGGTCCCAGGTTCGAGTCGCGGTCTCCTCGCATTGCACAGGCGAGGGTAAGGCTTGCCACTGACACCCTTCCCCAGACCCCGCACAGAGCGGGAGCTCTCTGCACTGGGTACGCCCTTTCAGTAATCTGTGTTACCATCGTTTGTTTGAACACTAGTCACAACATTGTTGTACATGTCCTTGATGAGGGTCACATACTTTGATGGGACTTTATGTTTGTCCAAAGACCACCACATAACATTTCTTGGTATCTTGTCATTTATTCAACATACTAATATGGAAGGAAAATCACAAGTAATTGAAATCATCACATATATTCCATCCAGTCACAAAGGTGACACTTTGGAGACCATGAAATCAATTAGTTCTAAATTGACCTATAATTTGGAGACCATGAAATCAGACAACAAACAATTTGAGATTGGATGTGTTTATAATGTCATAAATGGTCACAGTTGTGTTTGTGGGGCCATGCCATGTTCAAAATGAATGCTGGGAAAATACAAGGAAGCTAAATATGAAACCAGCACTCCTTTTAATCACAAAAGATTCAACATTTTGAGATGTATGAAGTCACATAATTGAATTTGGCCATCCATATCTTTACTAGTGTTCAGGGCAGGAGTTTTACAAGCATATGTGTACATTTGGCTCAAAAAGTATTTTTGTAATATCAGTTGTCAGATTTCATAAATATACTATAATGGAAATTAATGAATAATGATAAAGCTGCATTAGGTCAATGTGTTGATGTTCTTTTTTTTTGTGGCTGGAGGAAATACAAAGTAATAAGATGCCAAGGAAAAAGGAATAACCACATAAAAGAGGGCAACAATGGCAGCAGGTTTGCACCATATGTGCAACACTAATGAACCATCCTGTATTTCCATACCAGTGTTGTTAATGGAACTAATAAACCTCACATGGGCTAGTTTAATTCAGCTAATGCAAACATAGAAAAAATATAAATTGATTCATAGAAGAAAGAGTGGTCTTCATATGGCATGCAGTAGTTTTGTCAAGAATAATAAGACAGTCTGAGTTTCAAAGTTTCGACATAACAGATAATAAAGGAAAAGGTTATGTTAGACAGCCAAGATATGTGCACTTGGGCTATAGGCCCGTTATGGTTATTATTATAGATTCATTGCTATTGTATTAGGCCAGGAGATCCGACAGTGATCTTACTTCTATAAACCAACCCGGGGTCCTCCTTGCCTATACATGTACCCCTGCCTATTGGCCTCTAATCAATCTACTAATTTACCGTGCAATTCCATTGCTTTCAGGTTATGAAATAAATGTGACAGGAAACAATCGATTTCTGTAGCAGCAGGAGAACAACCTTGAAGCATTCTACATTAAACAAACCATTTTTCCCACAGATAGGGAGAACAATTGAGCTTTTAGGAGTTTTGAGAAAATGTTACAACAAAGAAATGGAAAATTTTCATACCAGGTGAACAATTTCTGGCTTGTTAATAGCTGAACCACGTCTTGTTGCCCCTTTTCACTTGTGCTGGTTTACAACTGCAGTGGAGAACAAGCTCTCCAGTTCGGATAAATCGATATCAGGAGCCCTGACAAACAGTGCAAAAAGTGAACACAGCTTTAGTGGAGAGACCTTCCATAGCTTAAATAACTAAAAGAAACTACAAGTCCAGAATCAAAGATACATATATGATGAAAAAATATAGCACATTCTACAATCAGTTCATTTAATCAAAGGTTTGTGTTCATAAATAACATATTTCATATTTAATAAACTGGTGGTATGAGAAATGTAAGCATTCAATAGTAAACCAACAGATGCAAAACGATGTGATGACATGTTATGAATACTTGAATAGAAAATCATGCTATAAAATTAAAATATGTCCACAGCAGCTACCTAGCCTGATTCCCTTGCTTTTGGGCATCAGCCCAGAGACTCCTTGCATTGCTCTCGTGACTTTCACCCAATGTAGAGGCTTCAGTGAAGCCTTCTTGGGAGGGTTACTTTGCTGTGCCAAACCAATGCCACGGCCTTTAGTTGGTCCAGTTGCGTTGCCTCGACCCCTTCCCAATAATGGAGGTGGTGCTGGTGCATTTGAGATCTTTGAGCTTGGTGGTGGTGGAGGTACAACTCCAGGAGGTTTTGGAGGTACAACTCCAGGAGGTTTTGGTGCTTGAGGTGGTGGGGTGGGGGCACAGGCACTTTCTTTCCTGTCATTAGGGGAGGTGGCGGTGGGGCTGGAGGAGTTTTTTATTAGAACCTGGGGGTGGGGGGGGGGGGGGTGGAACAGAAGGGCCAGAAGTTCTTGAAGAAGTAGCAGGTGGAGGCGGAGGCGGAGGCGGAGGCGGAGGTGGTCCTTTCGAAGAAGTACCAGAAGCAGCTGTAGGTGCTTTACTAGAAGAGGGAGGGGGAGGAGGAGGGGGTGGCCTAGCTATTCCAGGAGCCGGAGGTGGCGGTGGTGGTGGAGCTGCACAAACATTTTGCTGTTTTGCTGCCCCAGAATTTGGCAGTGGCGGTGGGGGTGGGGGCGGGGGTGGAGCCTGTGAAGGAGACACGCTGCTAATTCGAGGAGGTGGTGGTGGTGGTGGCGGCGGCGGTGGCGGTGGTGGTGTTGACATGATATGTTTTCTTCCACTTGGCGGCGGCGGCGGCGGCGGTGGTGGTGGAGGCTGTGTAGGACCTACACTGCTAATCCGAGGTGGTGGTGGCGGCGGTGGCGATGGCGGTAGCTGTGAAGGACCTACACTGCTAACCCGAGGTGGCGGTGGCGGTGGCGGTGGTGGAGGTGACGGTGATGAGAGAACATGTTTACTCTCACTTGGTGATGGCGGCAAAGATGAACCAGGTTTCCTACCACTTTGTGGCAGTGGCGGTGGCGGCGGTGGAGGCGGCGGTGGAGCAGGTTGTGATGATGGAGACATGTTACTTGGTAGCTCCTGCAGTGATTCTATTAGGGGTTCACTTGGCCCGGTTGCCAACACAGGCGAAGCAAGGGTAGAAGGTACCATATGAGGAGGCAGAGGTGGTTGAGGCTGGGGAGGCAGGGATGAACTGTTCATTGAGAGAGTAGCTGCAAAAATGTGATAGTTTAGAATCAGATTTTTAATAATTACACAAAAAGGTTAATGGAAGACAAACACACTAAGGAGGATAGTGATGCGACCCTGAAATGTATAGGGCACCATGCACAGCAATGCAAAGCAATATTTCTCCCTTAAAGGGAACCTCATATAGATTGAATAACATGATCAATAACTTACAAAGTAGAAATTGGTTCATGCAAGAAGTTATTATACCACTGGATTCAAAATCTTCAGTTGTATGATCACGATCAATATTCTCTGAGTCAGATGAGTTTCCACCATGCTGAACCTTCTCATGATCAGCTGAAGAAACAGAATCAGAAGCCACAGAATACTTTTCTTCATCAGAATCAAGTGGAGACATCAGTGGCATCTGTAGACCAACTTTAGCTTGCATTCTCGAGATCTCTTTCATGTCATTGAGTATAAGCTTTTGAAATTTCTCTTGCAGTGAGTTTGCTGAGAATTCTTTGAGCAACCAATAGGCAGCATCATCGCTGCTTTCAATCCAGTCAACTCCATTGAAGAGTTCTTGAACAGCTGAAAAGGCTTCAACTGGTAAACCACCCTTCACGTCACCATTGAGTGTTGCTGTTGGAGCCCTTGGGGGAGATATGCCCCCAATTTCACAAAACAGCACCTACGTTTTAAAATTTGTGTCAGTGATCCATTTTAGTCCAGGGCAATTTCAAAGAGTATATGCATCGATTTACCTCTGCTCTAAAATTCCTCGGATATCGCTCTTTTGAACCCCAGAGTATATCCACATCATCGCTATTCAGCATCAATACATTTGAACGTATAAAAGCAGTATTGAACATTATCCTGAACATCATGACTTCCTTCTCTGGATCAAGATCGAGATGTACACACTCCAGAACAATATCTCCCTGGACTAGACATTGTATGTCAATTTTTATCACATCACAATCCTCCTGCATTAAGACATTCCCAACTGATGTCATCTCAAAATAGAGTGACAGAAAGCAACTGAATTGTTCATGTTGAATTCCATGTCACCTACCTGCCGATAGTGCCGAAGAGATTTCTTCTTTGGCATGGAAAAAATCATGTTGGTCATGCTAGCATTCTTGCCAAGAAGATTTCGCCCAAAAATGCGGACTAATGGCCTGCATCCATTATCAGAATCAAAACTTGGAATCGCTCGAAGAATCAGGCAATCCAAAGAGAGTGCTCTTTCCATTGGAGGCCACTGTGGAGATATATTTCTTCTCGCTACATACTGCATGTAACGGAGTTGAGATGGCATTGGATTAAGGGCAGAAAAGAGCTGTAGGAACCCTTTAGGTGCCTCACGGTAAATAATGTCCAGAGTTTTATGCTCAGCGCTGTTCAATTTCTTGTAGATGAGAAGACAAGATAAAAGAAAAGCCAACAATGGCCAGGCCCCTCTTTCACAATGGAGTAAGATAATGTTCTGATTGGTCCCATTGGATAACCAGTGCTCACAGACACGAAGGAAATGCTGAATAAGAGATAAAGGAAGCACAGGACAGCCCTCAAAATGACGGGGGTAATCAATGACTGGAATGTTGTATTCACGTAGTATATCAGCAAGCTGGCTTCTCTTATCTCCATCTCTGAAGTTAATTGCCAGAAATGAGGATTCTACATGCTCTTCATGCAACTCTGTAAGAATCCCATTTAAATACACTGGGTACATTCCCTGAGGCAAAACTTCAGTGCTGAAGCATGAATCAAAAACTGTACAATGCCAAAAGATGCGATTAGTTGAGCTGTCATAAATAAGTTACATTGATCTAAGAAGGCGATCAATATAGTAAAATTCTCCATGCATACCATAGATCCTGTCAACAAACTCCAGTAGTCCATCAGGAGGCCTCTTGTAGAAGAATCTACTAAGAAGTGACATTTCATGTGAATGAAGAAATGTTGATATAACTGCTCAGGATCTTTTTTGTGTTGTGGGGCAAACTGCACAGGATTTCTAAGTGTTATCTCACAAGCACTGCAAAAGTAAATTGATTTCAAAAGAACCAACTACAAGGTGTAAGGGCGTGATAATCATATCTGAAAGTTGGAATGAAGTATTCTGATTAGTCATTTTAACTGTCACATGTAGGGACGTGATTATCATTACTGAAAATCAGAGTGCAGTATGTCTGGTTAGTCACTTTATCCATTTAAGATTGTAGCTGCTAGCAGAGGTCAGATTAGTGAACAAATACTTGGGAGATAAGTGGATACAACTATAGTAACTGGTCTTGCTTCTCACAAGTCCAACACTTTTTCCACTAGGATGTCATCGCAGCGCTAAGCAAGGATGGAGCCATGCCAGCTCAATAGAGTTTGTTTTCATTACGACAACAGCATAAAACAGTTAGGTATCAGCCAACTCCAGAACAGGAAACTTCGAATGTATGCTAAGCTATCCTAACATTGTACCTTCTCTCCCATTCATGCTCCCCTTACCAACCCCAACCAAATTGTTATGGACATATGGTTGTTGCAGACAAGCTATCTAATGGAAGTTCCAGCTGTGCTCCTATTGAGAACTCTCTACGTCACTGTGTATATTGCCTTGTTCCAGTGCAAGGGCATTTGGTTGGGGAATGGGGATTCAGCTAAACGCCTGAACCCCAAAAGGTGTTGGAAAATAAACTATAAACTGCACCTGCGATTTAACTGGCATGTACCGAGAAGTCCTATGGTGTAAACCAATGACGACCTCACGCGCTGAATAAGAACTTAATCAGATAAGCTAACCGAACCACTGCGCAGCACACAAATCCACAACTAAGAATTGAGTGGACAGAAATTACTACTTGGTTCGATTGAGAGACGAACCAACTCTTAGGACAAGAGAATCCTATTCCTATCCCAAGTGAGCTTAAGATTACTTACCAACAAAAATGGACACGAATCCAACCAACGCCCGTGTGGATCTCCACTCCACTGCCCACGAGAGAGGAGAGCCGCCGCCGCCGCCGAAGCCGCGCAGCAGACTACGAGTGGCGGGGGACGGAGAGGACCGGCCGCGGCGGGGCGCGGGGGCGCGGCGCGGGGAAGCCTAGGTGGGTGCTCCCCGAAGCCGAGCAGCAGACTACGAGTGGCGGGGAGGGAGGGGACCGGCCGCGGAGGGGCGGGGCGGGGCGGGGCGCGGCGCCGGGAAGCCTAGGTTTGGAGTGGTAGTGGAGGGGAAATTTCTGAGCTGGGAGGGAGAGAGGAGTGTTTTTTTTCCTCTGTTTTTCGGGTGCGGTTTCTCTCTCTTCGGCGTACTCGTTGTGCGGCGCTGCAACTTTGAACTGAGGGGTGCGGCTCTGGCTCCGGGCTCCAGATGCGGGCGTGGCGTGGGCGGCGAGGGCCGGCGCCGACTACGGCTGCTGGCGGAGGCGCCGGGGTGGAGCTACCGCGCAACTTTTGAGCGTGCCCTTTCCAACGTGCTGGAGTGACATCGGGCGCATCGTGCATCAACTATGCGTTACTTTAATTATAAATGTGAAGAAAACATAATAATATAAAACTTAAATTTGTTCTTAAAATTAAGTAGCATATCCCATAAAGTATTCACTTTAACCTAGATGTTGTTTTGATTGAAATATAAAAAAATCGAACCTATAAACAGTAATAAATTGCATAAGACAATCAACTTGTCAAAGACTTCAACTGAAACGATTTTAGAATAATGAGCTCAACTCCTGAAGCTAAACACTCAACTCAATTGTTATCTTCTCCCATCGCTAAAGCTATTGTAGTTTACTAGTAAACGTGCATATAAGTTGCAACGGAACTTAATACATATATGAATAGGACTATGTGTTATTACTGGACGGAAGTTGTTCTAGCTAACTCGCTCATATCAGTATGGCTCATGAGTTCGGGTCATATACAAAATAAAACAATCAATATTTTCTTGCTTCAACATCCTCTCACATGATTTGAACAGCCACCTTAGGAGCAGAAAGGTGTTCTTGGCCTCCATGGCATGATCTCCCGCTACAATTGCTAGATTTGATTGCTTCCAACCTAGCTTTAGTCGATCATATAAGGTTCCTCGCCGTTTTGCGAAGCCATGCAGCATGGTTTCCAGCCCAATTGGGCAAGTGTAGGTTTGACCTTGGCTCATGCACATCTCCAAGCAGACGGGACGTGCAAGATGTTCGACCTCACGCTGCAAGCTACACACCTTGCAAGTCGAAGCATTCAAGAGCGGCGATTATGGGCACATATTTTTCACTCCTCCAAGAACGGTGGGGTCGTCACATCTCTTTGGATGGAACAAGGATGAGATCTTTCGTCAGAAACCCATTCACGCAGGACATTATGGAGTTGCCCATGTTCAAGACCAACTGATACCGGTTCCATGGCGTCACTCTTTCGTCAACTCCAACATCTCCGGATAGCATTGCGTTCAGCGTCTGCAGTTCTACCAATGGCAAGTGTCTTGGTATGGAGACTTGGCGACATGAAGACGACTTGTGGACGACGATCATGACTTCGACCATGAGGATGACCCATTCCCCATTGCATATAATAACCCGCCTATTTCCACGTGGAGTTCTATTTACCTTGGGATGAAGGGCAACCTTGGTGCCTAGTGACGACACCGGGAGAGTGCTTGAAAATCCAGAGCCGATCTACACCGAGCCAAGTTTTTTTATGATGACCACGATGGGGCCAAGTTTTGCTACTTGGTTGACTTGGGAGAGGACCTGATATCAGTGTTCATGCGCAACGCGGATGAGCCCCGTGGGTGTTCAAGCTTGACCAGATGAGGATGATGGAATGGGTTGGAGTGAAGGACATTAGTGGTGCAACGCTATTTGTGGATTACTGGGCGTCATTTGGTGGTGTGTCTCCAGGAGCCGATAATGTCAACATGATCTATTTCCAAGTTACTCCGAGGATGGAAAGCACACGGCGGTCTATGATATGGAGACCGAGGTGTATCAAGTTATCAACCAACATTCTATGGGGTTAAAGAACCGTTGAACTACGTGTGGGTGGTGCCAAATTTATGTACAACTAGATGAGCCGCAGGCTAAAGCAATCTCGTTACTTTCCACTCGAATCAGTATTTATGACATATCGACTAATGGTTGTACGTTGGTCACTGAGGCCACTCTAACAGTTTAGACCTTGTTTGGATACCTATGTATCCATCTTAATCCATGCGTGTTGGAGTGGTTTGGTGTGCATGTTTAGACCTTATTTGGATACCCATGTATCCATCTTCATTCCCTTGCTTTGGAGAGTTAGATGTCGTAGTCCACTACAAGCCTCTAATCCAATACACAAGTGTTGCCTTTGTCCATTGCCAATCAGTCCACATCCTTCGAACTCTGTCCCATGACTTCAACACAACATCCCAGCAACTCGATTCCACATAGCCTAGCCACCATGTCAAAGATATTTATATCATGCAAGTCACCTCAAGTTGGCTCTTAGAGAGCCTTGAGCAGTCATCGATATGCACACATGTCCGCCGTCACACCACACAAGCCAATGTTGCAAATCACTCTTGTTGGCCAACTTGTCCTGCGCTGGCCTCACTACCATCTTGGAATACACATCTGATAGACAACGCTAGCATGCCATCACCCTCCACCTACCATGCAGGAGCCTTGCACACCATCGTTGCGCCTATGACCTGGTCTTGGCCGCTTTATGTAACTCCCCAAAACTCGTACCTTGGCATGGCTGCCTCGCTCAAGCACAACGCAACTCAACACCACCGAACACCTTTATTGCATGCTCGCCATCGCACTACAGGGCCACCCACAGTTTCCGCGACATTGAGTCTCTTCATGCCACCTCCATCATTGAATGCATGGACACCACCAACACAACCAAAGAACCTCTAACAACGCCATCACACGGTTGCTACTCCACAATATCATGTCCCATAGCCAAATCCACGCCACCATGCACATGCTTCCTTGAGATCGAGACTACGCGCCTCCTGTCCTCGGACATGGCTGCCACACTGTGGTTACTTCTCGTGCGATGCACCACGAGCCACCGTCGTGTGGCCTTCACATCATGCCACATGCCATTTGACCTAGCCGTGTGCTGGATCTGAGTTGTAATTGGGCCACAATTAGTTATAGCTACTGGGTCTTGTACTTTTGATCAAAACCGAATAGGTGAGGGTCTACTGTTGGGGGTGTATTATATGTTAGGGATCCCATTAGTGTTCCCAGGGCCCAATTACATAGCTAAGGGATTTTTTAAGATAATGTTTAGTAGCCATTTGTTGCCCCCTAGAGGTTCTTTGTAAATACAAGCTACACAAGGGAAAATAATAAAAACCTCCCCTCCCACCTCCCCTATAAAGTGGGAGAGGGGGAAGGTGCAGGGGGGTTTTGCCTCACTCATTCGGTTATATCCCTTTCCCTCCATTTCTTCCCTTCTTACGTTAGGACATAGACCAACATATGGTTCTTCTATTTTCTTGCTCGACAATTCCTATAATATGGTTCTTCTCATTTGGTTATATTTCTCTTAATTGTTCTCTATTGTCAGTTTAGTTCATGCTGCTTTCTGCTACCAAACACGTTGATTACGTAAATGACTGTCATCATGATCTAGGGGTTCCTCTTGTACATTTAGCTGAACTACTTCAATACATTTAGGCTATGTACTGGTAGTTCGGCCCCATAGGACTTGCAGCAGATTTTGCGAACTATTTCACATACTACCTAATCAACAATCTCTTTTCTTTGCATCGATTCACTTCATGTCCTAAATTTATTCAGATTTAATGAATAATAATTATAAAAGTAAAGACCGTACCTTTTTAAGATTAGCTTCGCATGCCTCCTTCCGCGGTCGGGATTGAACCCAGATCCACATAGTGCACCAAGTGTGCTCCTGTGCTTCATAGAGTGTGGCGAACCAACCTTCGTGACA